GACTGGAAATCCAAGGTTCATAAGATCAAAGACTTAGAACAGTAAGGGACCTCGGAGACAACCTAATTAAACCTCATCATTTTACAGATGAGGAAACTGAGTCCTAGAGATGTTAAGTGACTTGCCCAAGATCACCCAGATAGTACATGACAAAGACAAGATCTGAACCAACACCATATGAATTCAAATCCAGCATGCGTTCTATTGTACTCTGCTGCCTCTTGAGGTGTTCTCATCATTACATGAGATTTAGCTTGCATCTAACATGTGTAATGCATCGTGTCATAAAATAGGAGAGATACAAACCAAAATAGGGGATGGTCTTTCCCCTCAGGGAACTTTTAGTCCAGTAGAAGACAGGACATGTGTAATTAAAATAAAGCACAATGAAGTGGAAAGAACACTAGCTTTGGCATCAACAATCAGGTTGGGATCCCAGCCTCTGAGTTAAGTTATTTATTTTCATTGGAACCCAGGTTCCTCCTCTGTAATATGGGAATAAGATTACTACTTACATCCACATACTTAGATTTATTTTGAGGAAAATGCTTTTGTAAATTACAAATTGCTTTAGAAATGGAGAAATAATCAACGGCAACACAAGTTACATTCTATTACACCTATTATGTTCTTCTTAATTTCTTGCTGGGTATTATACTTTTTATTTATTTTTTATTTTTTTATTTTTTTTTTAGGCAATTGAGGTTAAGTGACTTGCCCAGGGTCACACAGCTAGTAAGTATCAAGTGTTTGGTCTGAGGCCAGATTTGAACTCAGGTCCTCCTGATTTCAGGGCCAGTGCTCCAGCCACTGCGCCACCTAGCTGCCCCAGTGTCATACTTTTTAAAGAAAAGATACTGTGGCATCTCATGATTGAAATGTATTGTATTAGCAGAAGAATGTTGGTATTTAACAGAAAGGTATTTTTCTTCAATGAGAAGTTCGGAGTCAATGAAAGCACTCCACAATTTCTCAAAAGTTCTCTTTTCTATCTATTCTGGGCCCAATTCACTGTCTGTCTGATGTGACTATCCAAGATATATATATGACCTTTGCTAAGGAAACTCTCCCTACTGATACAGATTAGGAACTGTTCTGCAACTTACAGTCTTAGAGAGTTGGTTAACTGACTTCTCCATGGCCACCCAGCTAGTATGTCTCAGAAGCATAACTTGTACACAGGTCTTCCTGATTCTGAGATCTGCTCACTATCCACTACACCAAGCTACAGACATTCTTGATTCATGTTTGTCCTGTATGTAGAAGTCAATTGAATTTTTAATTAGATTACAGATAGATATCATTTGGGAATCTCAATAGTATCCCATAGCTTGATGCAAATATCAGAATGTCATTTGCAAACAGTAGTCTCTGAGGGAGCTCACCTTCTCTAGGGAATCCCTCTTCAATTTGGATTCCGTGATGCCCATCCTCCCTGCGGAATACACATCTCTGTTTTATGTCTTGCTTCATGTTAATAATCATGGTTTTGAACAAAGTTCTCTCTGTTATAGACAAGGAAACTTCTATGATCCTAACATGCATGGGAGACACCTTGTTGGAGAATAGTGTTTCATGTGGCTTTAGATAAAATATTACTTTGTTCTGATGAATCAAATGTGAAAGCATCATTACCAATAAACAATAAACACAGTGGTAAATTTTCCCCCTGCACCTTTCAGTCAACTGTATTACTACAATGATGTAGTCTGTTCTAGAATATTATGAATATTAATAAGAATTAATATTACTAATATTAATAACAACCTGCATGTTTATAAGAATGTCATAAGCACTTTTCTTAATGTGTTCATTGAAGATACATTCTATATGTGTATAGATTATTTTTCATAGATATTTTGTTGAAATGGAAAATTAGACATGTGGGTCAATATTTTCAATCACCTGTTTTATCTAATACTAATAACACCTATAGTTTTCTACCTCTAGTATTTGGTATCTCCCCTCTTTTAGACAGCTTAAGTATCAGTCTCTTACTGCCCAAAATTGTGTCCTCCTCTTCATACAATAGGTCAGGTCCAACTACCCTTCCCATCTTTGTTTTCCTTAATGCTATTTCTATTCCTTCACGTAGCACATCAGGGACTGAGATATTAGAGCCTGTGGAGTCTCCACTGACAAACCTACAGAAAATAGTTTGTTACAAAAATGTTGACAGATCTTTTAACTTGCCTATTAATTGCCCCTTTTCCAATTTCATTCTTTTAAAAAATACATATTTATTTTCCCCCAATTACAAATGAAACAAGTTTTAAACATTTAAAAAAAGTTTTGAGTTCCAAATTCTATCCCTTCTTCCATCCTCTCTCCCTTTGCTGGGACAGTGAACAATCCAATATAGTTTATACATGTGTAATCATGTAAAACATTTCCATGAGAGTTATTCTGTTTAGTTTAATTCTTAAAGGCCTTCAGGATGACTTTATTTAGTTGCGTGTCTTACCAAGCTTTTTCAAAGGAGGTTTTCCCTCAATTACTTCTTAAGACTTCATGAGCTATTACTACTGACATTCTCTCACCATCCTTTCTGTCAGAGTTTATATTCTAAATCGGGATTGTCTTTGGCTGCCGCATCTTTTCATTTAACACAGAGATCACATGTTTGATGGCTAAGGCTTTAGTGGCCTCCTTGTTGTTCCAATGTCCTTACAGCAGTTAAACATTTTTAGGATGTGGTTATTGTACGTCTTGCTGTGTGTTTCTTCTTTTGTTTTTCTCATTGGAGGACATCTGTAGTTTATTTAAGTAAGTCAGACTGGAGTTGTCTTAATCACACATCATATCTTAATCTCACGTTTACTTTTTCTTTTAATTTGGTGTTGATTTTGACCTTTGTTCTAACAAATCAATGGTCTGACTTTACAGAGATAGCTCATTTGGCCATGACTCCTTACATTAATGATCAATCTTTTCCTTCTATAAAGCCAAAGTCAATTAATTTGTTATTTTCTTCTGATTTTTTTCCCCTTTCTTCCCTCCTTCCTTTTTTCTTTCCCATTCTTCCTTTCTTTCCTACCTATGTCTAGCACCTTTAAGCTCTCCTCCTTAAAAAAAAAAAATGTTTAGACTTGAAGGTCTGCTTTTTTTTTTTTTGCCTTGATACTGAGCCGTGTCTGAGTTGGTGCATGTGTAATTTGCCATTCTCCCCTTAGCTCACTTCTGAACTGAAATCAATGAGTATTAAAGTATATGTTGATTTAATCTGGAACATCCTCTGAAGTTTGTGGTAGAAGGGCTCTACCTCCACATCTGCTATCACAGATGTTGGTGCATAAAATACAATGACCTGCACGGTGATCTTTTTGCTTATGCTCATCATGAGCACTATAATGTGAGATGACCAAATGCCTATGGAAGTGATGCTTCTTGTTGCTTTTGGTGTTAATTCCTTCATTTGTTTCTACATAGAGGGCCTGTCAGCCATTTGGAGGCAACTTCTTTTGTCCTCTGATTTCATTTACAGCAAGAATGTCAATATTGGTGTGATTCAGTACCTCCTTTAGCAAGATGACTCACTCACTGGTCAGTGGACAAGGATCTCACATTTAGAGTAAAAGAAGGTGGTGCTTTTAGGGCTTCCAAAGTGGTCATTCTGAGCATTCTCTGTCTTCTTGTCTGCTACTCTCTTATTATCCTAAGTGGAAGTCGAATGTATAAGAACTAAAGGTCATTTTGTGATTTTCTTTGTTTAATGATAATACTATTAATGATAAACTATAAGGAAAGACAACTTTGACAGACTTTAGAACTCTAAATAATGCAATAATAAACCATAAATCCAGAAGGTTGAAGATGAAAGATGTTACTCATTTCCTGCACAAGAGATGATGAACTTAAAATTTAGAAATACATAATTTTTTTCAGACAAGATGTGAATTTATTGTGCTGGACTATGTATGTTTATGATGAGAACTTTCTTTTTTTTTTTAAAGGAGAGCAGTAGGAGGGATATATAAATGCATGTAAAATAAAAATTGATTTTTAAAAATCTAAGTGTAAGCTATGGCTATAATATCAAAAGATATAATTATCATAAAAATACAAAATAACATATTAAGTACATGAAAGAGGTAGACTAAGTGTTCAGAAGAAGGATGAAATTTTAGGGAAAGAATTTCTATTTTAAATATATTTTTCACTTACCTGTGTGAATAGGCATTTAATAAAGGTTTGTTGAACAAAACAATGTGCAAATAACAAGTGCTCCTTCAATATTTTCTGATAGGAAACCAAGTGGGAGGTTAGAATGGGCTTCAGGGTCAGAGAATTGAGGATCACAAGGATCATAAACCTAAGATCTAGAAGGGACTTTAGAGATCATACAGTCAAACCAATCTCATTCTCCATATGAGGAAACTCAGGTCCACAGATGTAAAGTGAATTGCCCAAGTTAATATAAGTAACGGGGCCAAGATCTGAATTCAGGTGTTCAAATTTAAAGCCTAGTACTTTGGTTTTGTTTTTTCTCCTATTGCCCTATGTTCACTAAAAAACAAAACAAAATGTAATTTTTCTTAATTCAGAAGTCTTGATTGTAATATATTATTCTAAGTTCAATTTAAACTTATTTCAGATATTAAATTGTTATGTTTTAAAAATATAATGGATCTGATAATTTTACAACATGAAAAATTATTATTTTATAGGAGAACAGGCCATCAGGTTGCTGTTTGATTTTGTTGTTTAAAAAAAAAAGTACAAAGATATTACATTTTGGCAATTAGGAATTTTATAGAGGGAAAAAAATGACACACAGTCTCTTAATTAAATATTTACATGACAAAGAACCAGATGTTCTGACTTAATGAGCACAAATATCTGCTTTCCAAAACTACATAGCTACATATTTGCCTGAAGGTTAAATGGTACCTCTATTACCTTCAGCAAAAATATTTTTATTTAAAAAAAATCATGACTAAAATTGCAGGATTAACAAATAATGAAATGTAAAATTAAAGCTGTTATTTTTTATTTCTTAGGCAATGAAGCCCCCTCCACCAAACTCCATGATTTCAAAGTGTGAAGTTAAAAACAAGTAAGTTTTTAAATGTATTAAATAGGTAATCATTTTGTTGTATAATGCTTATCTGTAACCTCTTCTAATTAAATATCATATCAATTTTTTGTAAGGACAGATTTAAAATCTCACAACATAATCGTTTTTAATTCATCACTTCAGAATTTGTTTAGTGGTTCACTGAGCAAAGATTAAATCTGAAGTCTTTTAAAACCTCAACATAAATTTTACTCAGTGAAAAATACTGCAAACAAAAGTACTTATATAAACTAGTATTCTTTATCTCTAGAAATCTATGACTAATATGGAAAATTAAGACTATTATGAAATATAGGAAATTATTAATTCAGGACAAAAACAAAGTAAACGATATTGTCATAGTGAAAGTATTAATATTTTAAAAGAATACACTTGGAAGATTGAAAAAGGGCATGGTGGAACATATTTTGAGGCCCTCCAATTTTATTTCTAAATCTTGTTGCCAGTTGGCTCTGTTTTTCCCGTGTCCGTGGTGCCATCTTAGAAGATGAACTCTCTGAGGGGAATCAAGGAGCCAATCTGACTTTTTCTGCACAGGTTAGTTCCTTGAGGGAACTGCTGAGGTAAAACTGTTGCTTCATCTGTCTCTTCACCCAGACCCCAGCACAGCACATTTTGCATAAAGTAGGTACTTAATAAAGGTTTGTTGCATAAAACGACGTGCAAATAATGAGTGCTTCTTCAATATTTTCTGATAAGAAACCAAATGGGAGGTTAGAATGGGCTCTAAGGTCAGAGAATTGTTTACAAATACTTACATATAAAAATATTTATGTCTAAAAAGGCACAAGATAGGGAATTAAAACAATATTATTAGAAAGTATCTATAGAGTACACCACCACCATATTCTGGACAAATTCATATTACAGCCTCAAAGTGGGATACAGGGTGAGGATGGGATACACACCAGGAACAACACAGGGATCTAGTCCCATTTCTCTTCACAAAACGCTGATACTAGCAGTTCTCAAGCATGAATCTGTACTCTTTTTTTTTTCTTTCCCCTACTTGCCTCTTAGATTCTCTGGAGAAATACAATCTATAATCCATTTGCCTTTTTCAGTTCTATTCTGGGATTATAGATGTTCCTTTTGACATTGATCTCTATTTTTGTCAGTGGTGCCAGTATGCTCCTAGTCACCCAGAAATGAAATCTTAAAATAACCTTTGATTATTCCCTCTCTCTTCTTCAGTGTCCAGAGTGCCTTTTTTTTTTAAGTCTCGTAATTATTGGGATCTTTGTTAGATTAGATCTCTAGTCTATCTTTTTGTTTCCATTATCATAATTCCAGTTTGAACCTTTACCTCACCCCTAGATTACCAGAACAGTCTTCTAGTCTCCCGTCTTTTCCTTCCTACATTTTATAATTCAATCCAGTTATAAATTTATGATCCTATGAAAAGTGGTTGATGATAGATTGGGTGGGGGCAAGTGGCATCTGAAGCCTAGCCAAAGAATTTAGACTTGTTTCCCTTGGTTATCGAGAACAAATGTCTGAGCAGTGGACTGACGATTAGAGAGGGTTGTTTCTTATTAGGAAGATTTGTCACGAGATAAATCTTCCTTAAGAAAAAACAAAAACACCTTTGTAGTTGTCAATCACACATGTACCCAAGATTTGCCCATCACGTGTGGTAGGCTGGAATGGGATATTTTAGCTTGTCATTATGAAGAGATGTTCACTGTATGAGGACATGCCAACGGTGGGTAAGACCGTAGGCTCATAAATTCATTTGGAGGTGAAAATAACACCAATAGAAGAAAAGTTTTATCTTCAGTACTGCTTGGAACAGAGAGTCTGAGGGGGCTTCTAAGCAACCTGAGTCAAGTTACTAAGTATGTATAAGCAGCTAGCTGTCCTTTCAATCCTTCTCCTCAAAACTCCCTTAAATCATTCTATGACCAGCTGGTTTACTAACAAGTGAATGGTGGAATGTGGAGGAGAGGTGTTGATGAAAGGATGAGTTGGGATATTCAGATGGCAGGGGATCCAAGAGGGAGTAGTCAAATTTCTGCTAACTTAAACATCTCCTACACTAGATCCCATGTCATTTGTATTGATGTTGTATGTATATATTGTATGTAACTATGTTATCTCTTCCATTACAATGTAAGCTCTTCAAGAGCAAAGAGTGTTTTTGCTTTTTCTTTGACTCCCTGGAACTCAGCACAGAGCCTGTCACATAGAAAGTAGTTAATAAATGCTTATTGACTAATTGATTTTTTTTTAAGGCAATTGGGGTGAAGTGACTTGCCCAGGGTCACACAACTAGTAAGGGTCAAGTGTTTGGTCTGAGTTCGGATTTGAACTCAGGTCCTTCTGACTTCAGCACTGGTGCTCTATCTACTGCGCCACCTAGCTGCCCCAACTAATTGATTTCTTGAAGAAACTATTCATGATATAGAGAGGCAAGGCTTCTACATGCCAATCAATCAGGCAACAAGTATTCATTTAGTATCCAGCATATGTCAGGTACCATACTAGGCATGAGGGATATGAGCACAAAGAATAAAACAATCCCTACCCACAATGAACTTGTGTTTTATTCAGCATGACAACCAGTACATATCTAGATATTTACAAAGTACTTAAATACAAGATAGTGTGGGAAGGAGGATCCTAGCAGATGGGGAGAATCAAGAATGGCTTTATGGAGCCTGATGGAGCCTGGGCAGAATCTTAAAGGAAGAGAGGAACTCTATGAGGTAGGGGTAAGGGAGGAGCGCATTTTAGGCATTTGTGAAAGTCAGTGAAAAGACAAGGAGATAGGAGTGCTGTGCGTGAGGATCAGAGGGAAAGCCAGACTAAAGAGTTCCAGAGGAGGACAGATATCCAATGAGGCTGCAAAGATAGGTCGAGGCCAAGCTGTGTTGAGTTTTAAAAACTAAACAGTGTTTATATTTTATCATCGAGGCAACAGGGAATTGGCTGAGGAGAGTGGTCATTTATTCTGTTTTGTGCTTAATGCAAATTACTTTGACATCAAAGTGAAGGACAGTAGACAAGGAGAGAAGGGGTGATATTTGAGAGACTTGATGTAGGCTGAGGGAGGCTATTACAATAATTTAGGTGAGGTAAGAGTGAAGGGCTGGAACTAAAGTGGTGGTTATGGGAGTAGACAGAAGGGGTTGGATGAGAGAGATGTAAAGACAGAAGGGAGATTTCCATATTTTTGCCATCCCCCCATGTCTTTATTTACACAGAAGTCACTGAATATCAAAAAATGTTGATTTAACTTGTCTCATCAAATTCTTGGTAAAATTCTTTACCTTTCTTGTCAACAGAAGATAGTAATGCATAAAGTACAATTATTTTCTTAGTAGACTTTGCAAATATTTATTATGAGCACTGTAATACAAGATGACAAAATGTCCCATGAAATGATGTTTCTTCTTGATTTTGGATACATGGAAAACCCAACTCTACCAACCCATTTATTTGCTTTTCCAAGGAGAACCTGTGAATAATCTTTATATTCAATTGCAACTTCCTTCTGTCTTCTGGTCTCAAATTATTTTGAGAATGTCAAGATTGTTACGTCCCCTTTCTCTGGTTGTATGACTACCCACTAGTCACTGGATAAAGATCTCACATTTAGAATACCAATACCTAATTTAATATTTATAGACAATCTAAAATCTATATGTTTCTTACCATCCACTGCTGCCTTCTGTGACACACTTCCACCATCACTGTGGACACTGAAGTGGCATACACACAACTGAGGGTCATTTTGTATTTTTTCTTTATTTCAACTGGTGACATGGTCAAATAATTATATCACCAAGTAGCCAAGCCTACTAATAATATGCCTTTCCCTATTAGCTAGGATGGTCTTTGGAAAGGAAACAAAGTTCATTACTGAGATTATATTTGAAACTTTTCGATCGTGGTAGAATCTACAAGAAATTATGCTCCATTTGGCTGGCCATTCAGAACCAAATGTCACCTGTATACCTAGATGTGGCACTAGAAGAAGACTTTGTGGAGATAACTTCATATTAATATAACAAATACTAATGTATAAGTATATGTATACATACATGTATATGTATATATTTATGATATATATATATGTATATGCTCAAGCAGCAGCATGGTATAGTATAAAGCTAGCCTCACTGTCAGGAAGAACTGAATTCAATCTCACTTCTGATACACAATGGCTGTGTGGCCCCATATAAGTCACTTCACCTCTTTCACCTATAATTTGTAGAGAAGGGCAGAACTGCATTGGTAGAGGGATTTTTCTCCCTGGGATCTTCATATAACAATGAAATCACAGGTCTCATGCAAAAACAAACACAAACTGCTCAAGTTCTTTCTAAAAATCTGATGTTGAGCACTAACAGAAATTAGTTTCATTTCAAATAAAAAAAAATCTCATCATTATTATAAAATACCTATGAAAGGTAAAATACACATTTCTCTTTGTAAACTAAGTAAAATTATAAACCTTCCTTCTGTGGAACAGGGAAAAGAAGCCTGGATTTAGAAGGAGCCCTGGGCTGCAATCTTGGCTTTGCTATTTACCAGCTATAAGATGTTGCTGAAAAATTAGGGTTTGGGGTTTGGGGGCAGGAGGTGGGGAACTGGGGAGGATTAGATTATCTCTAAGGTCCCTTCTATAGTTAACTCTTAGGGTTCTATGAATCGACTGGTAATGCTGCTGAATATAATAAACTCAACAAATACTGAATATTATTGTTTTTTTTGGAATACTGAATTCTGTTACACATGGGCATTCTATTTAACAAAAGTGAAAGTATTTTTTGCTTTGTGGGAAATTTAAAAAAATTTAAGTATCCTTTTGAGAAGAAAAAAAATCAAGTCATATTTTAATGTCATTTTCTTAATGTTTATGCCAAATATGCATGATAAGAGCAAAGGTTACTTGATTGTGAAATTAAAAACACTGAGTTATGTATTCTGTGGTACTGTACAGTATTGTACAGATCAGTGGTCAAGAGTCCTAA